ACGCCATGACACTACCACCACCATGATCACTGATGAGGTGGTATGCTATAGGATCATGAGCAGTTCCTTCTCCATCCACTTCTCTTCCCATCACTCTGGTACAAGTTGATGTCGGTCTCATCTGTCCATAGGATGTTGTTCCAGAACTGTGGGGGGTGGATTGTGAAGGCTTTTTTACATGTCGTTTGGCAAACTCTAATCTGGCCTTGCTGTGTTTGAGTTTAAAGCACATCTTGTTCGTTTCATTTCAAATCCATTGTGGTGTATAGAGCCAAAAATGTTAGAATTGTGTCCATGTCTCAATATTTATGGACCTGACTGTATATATAAATTAGTGGGGGACACCCACAGAAAAAAAAAGACATGGGATTCCCCTTTAATTCATATGGTTTTCTAAATGTTAGAGAGGTGCAACATGCTAAAAACTAAAAAAAAAAAAAAAAAAAACACCTTTTGGATCCGATATGGATTTGAAAGGGGAACCCTACATGAAAAGTAAAAAAAAAATAGCGTGGGGTTCCCTTCTATCCTAACATATACCAGCCCCTCAACTCGGGGGGAGAGGAGGACTAGAGATGAGCGAATTATTCAAAAATTCGATTCGGCTGATTCGCCGAATTTGCGGAAGAAATTCGATTCGATGCGAATTTATTCGCTGCGAATTTAACTTATTAAAAGGGTGTTTCTAGGCTTCAGAGAGCCTTTATATTAGTGCAGAACACTGTACCTTTAATTTAAATGCCCTTGGAGTCTGTGGGGAAGAGAAATAATACTGTCAGTCAGTATGACATGCAGATGAGTGCCGTCGATCTTAGAATCACCGCACACTTCACTCATTTGGGCAGTCACGGGGCACGACGAAGAAGAGAAGAAAGAAGAAGAAGAAGAATGAAAAAAGAAGAAGAAGAAGAATGAAAAAGAAGAATGAGAAGAAGAATGAAAAGAATAATGAATGAAAAGAAGAATGAGAAGAATGAAAAGAAGAATGAAAAGAAGAAGAAAGAAAAATGAAAAGAAGAATGAGAAGAAGAATGAAAAGAAGAATGAAAAAGAAGAATGAAGAAGAATGAAAGAAGAAGAATGAAAAGAAGAAGAAGAAGAAGAAGAATGAAAAGAAGAAGAAAAGAAGAAGAAGAAGAAATGAAAAGAAGAATGAAAAGAAGAAGAAGAAGAAGAAGAATGAAAAGAAGAAGAAAGAAGAATGAAAAAGAAGAATGAAAAGAAGAATGAGAAGAATGAAAAGAAGAATGAAAAGAAGAAGAAGAAGAATGAAAAGAAGAAGATTGAAAAGAGAATGAAAAGAAGAAGAAGAAGAAGAATGAAGAAGAAGAAGAAGAAGAATGAAAAGAAGAAGAAGAGAAGAATGAAAAGAAGAATGAAAAGGATGATGAAAGAAGAAAGAAGAATGAAAAGAAGAAGAAGAAGAATGAAAGAAGAAGAAGAAGAATGAAAATGAAGAAGAAGAAGAAGTTTCTGAAGAAAGAAGAATGAAAAGAAGAAGAAGAATGAAAAGAAGAATTCCAGTTACAGCAAAAAGTGTATCTGCAGAGAGCTCCGCTATTTCTGACAGTTCTCTGACAGTTCCTTCACATTTACAGCGGTTTGAAAAACATTGTATCTATTTGTTTCCGAATAAAAAACATCTGTATCCTAAATGGGAAACAAATAGATACAATGTTTTTCAACCGCTGTAAATGTGAAGGAACTGTCAGAGAGAACTGTCAGAAATAGCGGAGCTCTCTGCAAGATACACTTTTTGCGGCTGTAGAAGGGATGAAAAATCGGCGATCGGTTCGGATCGGGAAAATAAAATTCGATTCGTGCATCCGAAGTTTGCTAATATTCGGATTCGGTGCGAATCAAATTTTTCCTAATATTCGAAAACGAATTCCACTTCGCCAAGTTCGATTCGCTCATCTCTAGAGAGGACCTTTTAGGGGAGGAACCATGTTTATGAGGACAGGGGTCTCCTCCCACAACCCTGGCTCAGGGGGGTTGTAGGGGTCTACAAGCCGGGGACTTATTAGGAATCTGGCATCCTCCATATACCCCCCCCCACCCATATGTGAATGAGTAAAGGGTGCAAAGAAAAATGTACGTTAAAAAAAAAAAGCCCAGTTTTTGACAAGTACTTTGATTTAAAAAAAAATTCCCAAAAATTCCATTCATCCTTCCTCAACCATGTTGTCCAGAGATGTAGATCCGTGTCAGTCACAATCACCACCCACCGACCTGGGAATCCTTGGAAAAAATGGCCTGGAGATTCCCTGCTAATTCATAGCAAACCCTGAGTGACATCACCCAGGAGACCCGCCCACTTGAATAGATAAACTGTGAAGCAATATGAAGTAAAGGTCTTTCAGCAGAGTGAATGGACCTGCTGAAAGTAATGGGACTTTTTAGCAGGTCCCATCACTCCGCTGAAAGACCATTGCTTCACAGTTGATCTATTCAAGTGGGCGGGGTCTCCTGGGTGATGTCACTCAGGGTTTGCTATGAATTAGCAGGGAATCTCCAGGCCATTTTTTTCTAAGGATTCCCAGTCATGTAAGTGAATGGAGCCGGTGACATCACTGTTTTTTTCTATAGACTCGGCAGTGCCTATGACTTCCAGGCCTGGAGAAGCAACAGGAAATGAGAGGAAATCTTTAAAGTGAATGGGAATCCCATCTCGTGTTGGCCATACACGTATTGGTTTTAGAACCAACATTTGTACGAATATTCGCATGAATCTTCATATGAAAAGTCTCATCAGTACAATTATTGATACACTTGTCAAAAAAGTATTGGGCCCGCCCGCCAAATCATGTGATTCAGGTGCTCCAATCCCCTCCCTATCATGTGATTTAGGTGTTCCAATCCCTCCATGGCCACAGGTGTATACAATCAAGCCCCTAGGCATGCAGACGGCTTCTACAAAACATTGGTGAAAGAATGGGTCGCTCTCAGGAGCTCAGTGACTCCAAGCGTGGGTCCCGTGATAGGTGGCCACCTGGGCAATAAGTCCATCCGTGACATTTCCTGGCTACTAAATATTCCACGCTCAACTGTTAGTGGGATTATAACAAAGTGGAAGCACTGGGAACAACAGCCACTCAGCCACCAAGTGGTAGGCCACGTCACATGACAGGGCCCGGGGGTCAGCGCATGCTTCTCTTTCGACATCAGCGCCTGACCCCACAAATGTGCTTCTGGAACAGGGGCGGATTGACAACTCATGGGGCCACCCGGGCAATAGGGGATCAGGGGGCCCCTGTGTCCTTCCCACACTCAAGTACAACCCAAAAAAACCTATACAAAAGGTACCAGGGGCATTTCATGGGGTTCCCTACTGACCCTGGGCCCTCGGGCAGTGCCGAGTGCTTGAATGGTCAGTCCGCCCCTGTTCTGGAAGACCCTTCCCATAGACACCCTCCTAAACCTTGTGGACGGCCTTCCCAGAAGAGTTGAAGCTGTTATAGCTGCAAAGGGCGGGGGCCAACTCAATATTGAACCCTACGGACTAAGAATGGGGGGCTATTAAAGGTCATCATGTGTGTGGAAAGGGCGGGGGGCCAACTCAATATTGAACCCTACGGACCAAGACTGGGGGGCCATTAAAGGTCATGTGTGTGGAAAGGCAGGTAGCCCAATACTTTTGGCAATATGGTGTAAATGTATGGTGACAATTACTGGATTATGCATCCATTGTTATAGACTTAGCAGCTTCTTAAAGAACTTCTTCTCCTTCCTGATGAAGGAGTTAAGTTCAAACCAGGAAAAGATACTCTAAAAAAAAACCCCAATATGCAAAGCAGTTGTGAGTTTATATTTTCGATATACTGTTTATACATACAAGGGTTGGACAAACTTATTCGCCATCTTGGAAAAACCCAATCCATGTGATGACATCATCACTGCGAGCCTCCCTGCACCCCTCTGCTACTCCCCAAGCCCTGGACACACCGGAGCGGCGGCCAAAGGACCATTATCCATTATCCCCTATTGCCCAGGGTCCCCCATGAGTTGTCAGTCCGCCCCTGCCCCAGGAGTCCAATGTTAAGGAATGGCCGCAGCCGCCGTACTGTCCATTCTCTCTGATTCGTTTTGCTTCACGCACCAGAACTTGGCCACAGAGGTAGTGAGGAGCCAGGAAATAATATATATATGCATCATTGGGCACGATGCATTACAGTATCTCCCAGAAGTGAGTCCCCCCTCCCCCACCTATATATATTTTATATATATACAGTATCTCCCAGAAGTGAGTCCCCCCTCCCCCACTTATATTATTATATATATATATATATAGTATCTCCCAGAAGTGAGCCCCCCTCCCCCACCTATATATATATACAGTATCTCCCAGAAGTGAGTCCCCCCTCCCCCCGCCTATATATATATATATACACACAGCATCTCCCAGAAGTGAGTCCCCCCTCCCCCACCTATATATATATATATATAGATATATATATATATATATATATATATACACACAGTATCTCCCAGAAGTGAGTCCCCCCCTCCCCCACCTCTATATATATATACACAGTATCTCCCAGAAGTGAGTCCCCCCCCCCCTCACATTTTTGTAAATATTTGATTCTATCTTTTCATGTGACAACACTGAAGAAATGACACTTTGCTACAATGTGATGTAGTCAGTGTACAGCTTGTAAACATGGAAATTTTCTGTCCCCTCAAAATAACTCAACACACCGCCATTAATGTCTAAACCGCTGGCAACACAAAAGTGACTCCACCCCTAAGTGACAAGGTCCAAATTGGGCCCAAAGTGCAATATTTTGTGTGGCCGCCATTATTTTCCAGCACTGCCTTAACCCTCTTGGACATGGAGGTCACCAGAGCTTCACAGGTTGCCACTGGAGTCCTCTTTCTACTCCTCCATGACGTCATCACGGAGCTGGTGGATGTTAGAGACCTTGTGCTCCTCCACTTCTGTTTGGGGATGCCCCCACAGGAGAGGAAAGCCGATAATCGGCATTACTCAGAAGGTACACATGTACACTGATCATCGGGGCATGATAATCATTGTATCCCCATCAGTGCCACCTGTCAGTGTCCATCAATGCCACATGTCAGTGCCCATCAGTGCCACATCAATGTCACATATCAGTGCCTACCAGTGCACATCAATTCCACATATCAGTGCCCATCTGAGCTGCCTTTCAGTGCCAGCCAGCCAGTGCCGCCTATCAGTGCCCATCTGTGCCACCTATCAGTGCTGCCAATCAGTGTCACCTATCAGTGCCCATCAGTGCTGCCTAACAGTTCCAGTCAGTGCTGCCTAACAGTTCCAGTCAGTGCTGCCTAACAGTATCAGTCAGTGCTGCCTATCAGTGCCATATCAGTGCTGACTTTCAGTGCCCATCAGTGATGCCTGTCAATGCCCATCAATGCCATCTACCAGTGCCTCCTCATCAGTGCAGCCTATCAATGCAGCCTATCAGTGCCCATCACTGCAGCTCATTAGCGCACATCAGTGAAGGAGAAAAATTAATTATTTACAACATTTTATAACAGAAACAAAGAAAAAAAACATATATTTTTTTCAAAATTTTTAGTTTTTGGTTTGTTTAGCAAAAAATAAAAACCCCGAGGTGATTAAATACCACCAAAAGAAAACTAGCTGTCTCAATAAAAGAGAAAAATTTCATATGAGTACAATGTTGCATGAGCCGCGTAATTATCATTCAAAGTGTGACAGCGCTGAAAGCTGAAAATTGGCCTGGACGGGAAGGGTTATAAAATGCCGGTAGGCAGGAAGGGGGGGGGTAGAAGAATGTGCCCGGTGGGCAGGCAAGGGGGTAGAAGTGCCCTGTAGGCAGGAAGGGGGTAGAAGTGCCCGGTGGGCAGGAAGGTGGGGGTAGAAGTGCCCTGTAGGCAGGAAGGGGGTAGAAGTGCCCGGTGGGCAGGAAGGGGGGTAGAAGTGCCCGGTAGGCAGGAAGGGGGTAGAAGTGCCCTGTAGGCAGGAAGGGGGTAGAAGTGCCCGGTGGGCAGGAAGGGGGTAGAAGTGCCCGGTAGGCAGGAAGGGGGTAGAAGTGCCCTGTAGGCAGGAAGAGGGTAGAAGTGCCCTGTAGGCAGGAAGGGGGTAGAAGTGCCCGGTAGGCAGGAAGGGGGTAGAAGTGCCCGGTGGGCAGGAAGGGGGGTAGAAGTGCCCTGTAGGCAGGAAGGGGGTAGTAAGTGCCCGGTGGGCAGGAAGGGGGTAGTAGAAGTGTCGATAGGCAGGAAGGGGGGTAGAAGTGTCCTGTAGGCAGGAAGGGGGGTAGAAGTGCCCGGTAGGCAGGAAGGGGGTAGAAGTGCCCGGTAGGCAGGAAGGGGGTAGAAGTGCCCGGTAGGCGGGTAGAAGGGGGTAGAAGTAGAAGTGTCCGGTAGGCAGGAAGGTTAGGGAGTAGAAGTGCCGGTAGGGCAGGAAGGGGGTAGAAGTGCCCGGTAGGCAGGAAGGGGGTAGAAGTGCCCGGTAGGCTAGGGGTTAAAAACAATACACGGCTAACCAGCCCAAACGTATCAGCAATGTTCTCTATAGCACGAGGTTGATGCGTTTCGCTTGTTAGCTTCCTCAGGACCGTAGAGATCGGAGGCAGAGAGATTAATTGCCGTAGCTAAATATATGCAGTATATAAACATACATAAAACATTCATCGTGTAAAGAAATTTTCCAGAGAAAACAAACACTGAAAACTCTTCTCAGCAAGCGCACAAACCGATACAGACGGGAATGGGGGGCATCAGCACACGCAGGGAGAAGATAAAGTAGTCTTGAGTGGGCATCCATGTCCATTATTCATCCTGATGTCCCAAATATTATGGTATCCTCACCCAGAGGAAACCCACAAAAATGTCAAATAAAATAAAACAGAGGGGCGGAGGAAAAGGGGGGGGGGGGGGCGGACCCAAACACCAAGCAACAATGTACCACTTACATGGTAGAAGAGCAAAAAGCAGAACATCATCTATAGGTGTGTATAGGTGGATCCATAGAGGGCATATCATCCATAGAAAGTGAAACTCAAAAAATGAGAATATGGTGCAAACCTTCATTTATTTCAGTGCAGCAACTTAAAAGGTGAAACTAATATATGAGACTCATTCCATGCAAAGCAAGATAGTTCAGCCGTGATTTGTCATCATTGTTATGATTATGGCTTACAGCTCATGAAAACCCCAAATCCACAATTTCAGAAAATGAGAATATTGTGAAAAGGTGGAATATTCTCGGCTCAAAGTGTCCCACTCTAATCAGATAATGAAGCCATAACACCTGCAAAGGGTTCCTGAGCCTTTAAATGGTCTCTCAGTCTGGTTCAGTAGGAATCCCAATCATGGGGAAGACTGCTGACCTGACACCATCACTGACACCCTCCATAAGGAGGGAAAGCCTCAAAAGGGAATTGCAGAAGAAGTTGGAGGTTCCCAAAGTGCTGTATCAAAGCACATTAATAGAAAGTTATGTGGAAGGGAAAAGTGTGGAAGAAAAAGGTGCACAAGCAGCAGGGATGACCGCAGCCTGGAGAGGATTGTCAGGAAAAGGCCATTCAAAAGTGTTGGGGACTTTCACAAGGAGTGGACTGAGGCTGGAGTCAGTGCATCAAGAGCCACCACACACAGACGGATCCTAGACATGGGCTTCAAATGTCGTATTCCTCTTGTCAAGCCGCTCCTGAACAACAAACAACGTCAGAAGCGTCTTACCTGGGCTAAAGAAAAACGGACCTGGTCTGCTGCTCAGTGGTCCAAAGTCCTCTTTTCTGATGAGAGCAAATCATTTGGAAACCAAGGACCCCGAGTATGGAGGAAGAATGGAGATGCCCAAGGGACCCGAGTATGGAGGAAGAATGGAGAGGCACAAGGACCCAAGTATGGAGGAAGAATGGAGAGGCCCAAGGAACCCCAAGTATGGAGGAAGAATGGAGAGGCACAAGGACCCCGAGTACGGAGAAAGAATGGAGAGGCCCAAGGACCCAGAGTACGGAGGAAGAATGGAGAGGCCCAAGGACCCAGAGTATGGAGGAAGAATGGAGAGGCCCAAGGACCCTGAGTATGGAGGAAGAATGGAGAGGCCCAAGGACCCAAGTATGGAGGAAGAATGGAGAGGCACAAGGACCGAATACGGAGAAAGAATGGAGAGGCCCAAGGACCCGGAGTACGGAGGAAGAATGGAGAGGCCAAGGACCCAGAGTATGGAGGAAGAATGGAGAGGCCCAAGGACCCTGAGTATGGAGGAAGAATGGAGAGGCCAAGGACCCTGAGTATGGAGGAAGAATGGAGAGGCACAAGGACCCCGAGTATGGAGGAAGAATGGAGAGGCACAAGGACCCTGAGTATGGAGGAAGAATGGAGAGGCACAAGGACCCCCAAGTATGGAGGAAGAATGGAGAGGAGGCCCAAGGGCCCCAAGTATGGAGGAAGAATTGGAGAGGCCCAAGGGACCCCGAGTATGGAGGAAGATTGGAGAGGCCCAAGGGACCCCGAGTATGCAGAGGAAGATTGGAGAGGCCCAAGGACCCCGAGTATGCAGGAAGATTGGAGATGCCCAAGGACCCCGAGTATGGAGGAAGAATGGAGAGGCACAAGGACCCTGAGTATGGAGGAAGAATGGAGAGGCCCAAGGACCCCGAGTATGGAGGAAGAATGGAGAGGCACACACTGCAAGATGCTTGAAGTCCAGTGTGAAGTTTCCACAGTCTGTGTTGATTTGGGGAGCCATGTCATCTGCTGGTGTTGGTCCACTGTGCTTCATTAAGTCCAGGGTCAGCGCAGCCGTCTACCAGGAGATTTTGGAGCATTTCATGCTTCCTTCTGCAGATGAGCTTTATGGGGATGCTGACTTCATTTTCCAGCAGGACTTGGCACCGCCCACACTGCCAAAAGCACCAAAACCTGGTTGAATAACCATGGGATTACTGTGCTTGATTGGCCAGCAAACTTGCCTGACCTGAACCCCATAGAGAATCTATAGGGCATTGCCAAGAGAAAGATGAGAGAAATGAGACCGAACAATGCAGAAGAGCTGAAGGCCGCTATTGAAGCATCCTGGTCTTCCATAACACCTCAGCAGTGCCACAGGCTGATAGCTTCCATGCCACGCCGCATTGAGGCAGTAATTGCTGCAAAAGGGGCCCAAACCAACTACTGAGTACATATGCAGCTTCTACTTTTCAGAGGTGCGATATTGTTCTATGTACAATTCTTGTTTTATTGAGGGATGAAATCTGCAATCCTGGGACCGTGTTTTCAGAACCCCCAGCACACTAATTGCAGAGGCGTGTGTAGGCCTTTTTGTAGAGGCCAAACCATGGTTCTAGGCTCCACCCCAGCAGACAGGAGGTCATTGTCTAGGAATCAGGAGGGCTCCACCTGGGAGAGGTGGGAGCCAGAGCAGCAAGGGGCAGTATACCTGATAGAGCCAGGAGGATGAATCTTTGTTTTGTGTGCACTGATGGTGGATACCCCTGCGTGGGAAACCTATATTGTATGGAGCTTTCTTTTAAATAAAATTGGGCAAAAACGGCCCTGAAAAAGAAGAAAAGCGAGTGGCTGTGTGCTTCAAAAGTTCTACCTGTGATGCCAGTTCCCACAACACCTATACATACAAGCGGTTCTATGGATGATATGCCCTCTATGGATCCACCTATACACATCTATACATACAAGCGGTTCTATGGATGATATGTCCTCTATGGATCCCCCTATACACACCTGTACATACAAGCGGTTCTATGGATGATATGTCCTCTATGGATCCCCCTATACACACCTATACATACAAGCGGTTCTATGGATGATATGTCCTCTATGGATCCCCCTATACACACCTATACATACAAGCGGTTCTATGGATGATATGTCCTCTATGGATCCCCCTATACACACCTATACATACAAGCGGTTCTATGGATGATATGTCCTCTATGGATCCACCTATACACACCTATACATACAAGCGGTTCTATGGATGATATGTCCTCTATGGATCCCCCTATACACACCTATACATACAAGCGGTTCTATGGATGATATGCCCCGTATGGATCCACCCATACACACCTATACATACAAGCGGTTCTATGGATGATATGTCCTCTATGGATCCCCCTATACACACCTATACATACAAGCGGTTCTATGGATGATATGTCCTCTATGGATCCCCCTATACACACCTATACATACAAGCGGTTCTATGGATGATATGCCCTCTATGGATCCCCCTATACACACCTGTACATACAAGCGGTTCTATGGATGATATGCCCTCTATGGATCCCCTATACACACCTATACAACATACAAAGCGGTTCTATGGATGATATGTCCTCTATGGATCCCCCTATACACACCTATACATACAAGCGGTTCTATGGATGATATGTCCTCTATGGATCCCCCTATACACACCTATACATACAAGCGGTTCTATGGATGATATGTCCTCTATGGATCCACCTATACACACCTGTACATACAAGCGGTTCTATGGATGATATGTCCTCTATGGATCCACCTATACACACCTATACATACAAGCGGTTCTATGGATGATATGTCCTCTATGGATCCCCCTATACACACCTATACATACAAGCGGTTCTATGGATGATATGTCCTCTATGGATCCCCCTATACACACCTATACATACAAGCGGTTCTATGGATGATATGTCCCGTATGGATCCACCTATACACACCTATAGATGATGTTCTGCTGTTTGCTCCTCGACCATGTAAGTGGTACATTGTTGCTTGGTGTTTGGGTCCGCCCCCCCTCCCCTTTTCCTCCTCCCCTCTGTTTTATTTTATTTGATCTTTTTTTGTGGGTTTCCTCTGGGTGAGGATACCATAATATTTGGGACATCAGGATGAATAATGGACATGGATGCCCACTCAAGACTACTTTGTCTTCTCCCTGCGTGTGCTGATGCCCCCCATCCCGTCTGTATCGGTTTGTGCGCTTGCCGAGAAGAGTTTTCAGTGTTTTATGTTTTCTCTGGAAAATTTCTTTACACGATGAATGTTTTATGTATGTTTATATACTGCATATATTTAGCTACGGCAATTAATCTCTCTGCCTCCGATCTCTACGGTCCTGAGGAAGCTAACAAGCGAAACGCGTCGACCTCGTGCTATAGAGAACATTGCTGATACGTTTGGGCTGGTTAGCCGTGTTTTGTTCTGAAACACTGAGTGACTATATTCATTTTTGAAGGACACAATTTTATGTTTTTTACACTGATTTGTATTTGGACACTTTTTTGTTATTTTATAATTTTGGGTTTTTTTAAATTATTGATTCATACATTTCTTTATGATTTGGGAATTTATAGATGGTATAGGTAGCATACAGTATGATTATTCACAGATTGATACACCTTTAGGGTGAAGGTGTTTATTTATGCTATTGGGTATACTTCTGGATGTAGATTTTATTTAGGGGATACCGTCATTTTAGACACTGTTTTGTTCTTAAAAAAGTCAAATCTATGTTGTCTTCAATAAAATATGTCATTTTTATAGATGCGAGTCTGTCCTATACTGCAGCAGTCAAGTCCCATGCTGTTCCTTTGGGGTATTTTACTATTGTTTATCAGGGATGTCGGGGATGTCGGGGATGTCAGGGATGTGTCGGGGATGTCAGGGATCTCGGGGATGTCGGGGATGTCGGGGATGTCAGGGATGTCGGGGATGTCGGGGATGTCGAGGATGTCGGGGATGTCGGGGATGTCGGGGATGTCGGGTCGATGTCGGGGATGTCGGGGATGTCGGGGATGTCGGGGATGTCGGGGATGTCGGGGATGTCGGGGGGGATGTCGGGGATGTCGGGGATGTCGGGGATGTCGGGGATGTCGGGGATGTCGGGGATGTCGGGGATGTCGGGGATGTCGGGGATGTCGGGGATGTCGGGGATGTCGGGGATGTCGGGGATGTCGGGGATGTCAGGGGGGATGTCGGGGATGTCGGGGATGTCGGGGATGTTGGGGATGTCAGGGATGAGGTCTACAATATAATGTTACTGTATTTCACAAATATATGTTCTGGAATGTAAGGAAACTCTAGATTTAGGGAATTGCCAGGAATCAAATCTGACGTATTTACATTGTATTTATGGCATTCACAGCCACTCCCTAGCAATATTAGTGCTCGATTCTCTTCCATCCTATGGAATTTACACTGATATTTTGTTCATTTTCTGTTCTGTTAGCTTTTGCAGCAACTATAACTACAGCTTCAGTGATAACCGATTCTCCATCAACAACAGAGTCTACAACTTTAGGGCCCATAACAACTACTGAGACTACAACCTCAATAACTGAGTCCACACCGACAACCGGGACTTCAACCTTTAATGCAACGGAGTCCACACCAACAACTGAGACTACAACCTCTACAACTGAGACTACTACAACCTCTACAACTGAGACCACACCAACAACTGAGACTACAACCTCTACAACTGAGACCACACCAACAACTGAGAATACAGCCTCAACAACAACTGGGTCCCCACCAACAACCAGGACTACAACCTTTAATGCAACGGTGTCCACAGCAACAACTGAGACTACAACCTCTATTACAACTGAGACCACACCAACAACTGAGACTACAACCTCAACAACAACTGGGTCCACCAACAACCGGGACTACAACCTTTAATGCAACGGCGTCCACAGCAACAACTGAGACTACAACCTCTACTACAACTGGGTCCCCACCAACAACGGGAGTACAAGCTCAACAACAACTGGGTCCCCACCAACAACTGGGACTACAACCTTTAATGCAACGGTGTCCACAGCAACAACTGAGACTACAACCTCTACTACAACTGAGACCACACCAACAACTGAGACTACAACAATCCTCAACAACAATTGGGTCCCCACCAACAACCGGGAGTACAAGCTCAACAACAACTGGGTCCCCACCAACAACTGAGAGTACAACCTCAACAACAACTGGGACCCCACCAACAACCGGGACTACAACCTTTAATGCAACGGTGTCCACAGCAACAACTGAGACCACACCAACAACTGAGACTACAACCTCAACAACAACTGGGTCCCCACCAACAACCAGGACTACAACCTTTAATGCAACGGTGTCCACAGCAACAACTGAGACTACAACCTCTATTACAACTGAGATCACACCAACAACTGAGACTACAACCTCAACAACAACTGGGTCCCCACCAACAACCGGGACTACAACCTTTAATGCAACGGTGTCCACAGCAACAACTGAGACTACAACCTCTACTACAACTGAGACCCCACCAACAACTGAGAGTACAACCTCAACAACAAATGGGTCCCCACCAACAACCGGACTAGTAAACTTAACAACAACTGGTCCCCACCCAATGCAACGGGACCACAACCTTTAATGCAACGGTGTCCACAGCAA